TATTTAAGTCATTATAGATATATATACTAGAGTTGTTACTTATGTTCAAAAAGAAGGATTGACAAAATATTTTCATATTTCAGTTGTATTACATCAGGTATCAGCTTTTAAGCCCATATATTTTTGTTTTAGTTATGGATGCTCTTACTGAACATTTACAGAGGATATACCTTGGTGTATGCTTTTTGTTGATGATATCCTCATTCTGGATAAGACTAGAAAAAAAATTTAGGAGAAACTTGAATTAAGGAGGTCTACATTGAATTCTAAAGGACATCGTTTGAAAAGATCTAAAACTAAATATATGAATTGTAATTTTAGTAGTAGTAAATCTAACGACAAGGTTATAACTATGGATGATCAAATCTTTAAAATGTGTGAAGGTTTTAGATATCTCAGATCTATTGTTCAAAGTGATGGTGATATAGATGGGGATGTCATTATTAGAATTCAGGTTGATTGGTTGAAGTGTAGGAATGCATCAGGCCTATTGTATGATAGAAAAGTACCGATTAGCCTTAAAAGGAAAATTTTATAAGATCGAGGTGGTGCGGCCTGCAATGCTCTATGATGCAGAATGTTGGCCTTTAAAAGAGATGCATAAAATATAGTTATGTGTTGCTGAGATGAGAATGTTTAGTGAATGAGTAACTTGACACTAAGAGATAAAATGTGAAATGAATCTATTCGTGCAAGGATTGGTGTAGCTCCAATGGTAGGCAAGATTAGAGAAAGTCGGCTTAGATGATTTGGTCACATTAAACCTCGACCATTTGATGATCCAATTAGGAGAGTAGATGTTTTAGATTTGACTTATGTTAAGAAAGACAGAGGTAGGCGAAAAAAGGCTTGGGCATGCTGTATAAGAAAATGATCTTAATCTATTAGAATAAAAAAAAAAGTTGACACTCAATTGGACAATGGAGAAAAAGAATTCATGTAGCCGACAGCACTTAATGGGATAAAGTTTTGTTGTTGTATTATTTGATGTTATCATATTAATATATTACTTGGTACTTCTGCAATTTGTCACTTCTTATTATTTTAAAATGTTTTATGACAATATTAATAGGTTAGGATATTAATATATGAATTTTTATTCCACAGTTGCATGTGTGTATAATATTCCTTATTTAGCATAAATAGTTGATTTTAGGGCTTATACCTCAAAACATATAAATTTTCTTATGGACAAAAAATATCACAATAACTAACCGTGAAATTTTAAACCTTCAATTGATGGAGAACCAATCTATTTTTTTTCTAGAACGCACATCACAAACTACCATTTTCAAGAAGAGAGCAACTTCCTTCCACTATAAGGCCACCAAACAAGACCAAGATAAAGTTGAGTTTCTTTCCAAAAAACAAGGTACCTTTTATATATGATTTTTATTTAATTGCCAATTCCATGACTTCCTTCCACTATAAGGCCGCCAAACAAGACCAAGATAAAGTTGAGCTTCTTTCCAAAAAACAAGGTACCTTTTTATATATGATTTTTATTTAATTGCCAATTCCATAAGACATATTTGTCTAAGCAAAATCTAGTATACCTTTAATTACCCAAAGTTATGGATTCCAAGCCCATCAAAGAATCCATGTTCTTGCTTAGAACCAACAAGTGAACAAAATTAAAACCTGACATATCCATAATTAGAAGAGTGAAAAATGTTTCCTATAGGGAATCTATCTACTTAATGTTCATGTTTCTATTTTTGTTATAAAGAGAAAAAGAAAACTGCAATTCATATGGGGTCTTACAAATTAGAGGGGGTATTTGAGGTTCAACCTTAAGAGAGATAAAAGACAAGAGTTGGAAAGTGTGGTAGGGATTTAGATTTGAGCAAGAGAAGACGAATAAACCTACCTCTAGGTGTAAAGGAGCCAAGCTTAAGCAAGTTGAATATGTTTTTGCATTCGGCATTTTTTTTTAGTTTAAAATTGGCTTGTGTTTGGATGATTCATGAACAGTGTGTGCGTGTTTGGCTCAAAAGAATATTCATGTTCATTTTTAGCTCTTATTCGGCTCGAATTGACTAGTTTAGATTTAAACCTGCAAAATTTTATGTAATAAAAAGTGCAGAACCACATAGCACACGAGTTGTGATTTATACTTAGATATAAATATGAAATATATTATTATATGAATAAAATATATAATTTCCTTATTTCAAACTAAAATGAGCCGAACACGATCGAACAAAAGATTATTCGTATTCGGCTTAATTATAATTCAAGCTTAAATTTTGTTTGTATTCAGCTTGCTTACATAAAAAATGATTTGAACCCAAGATATTTATCAAGTAGACGAGCTATTCGCAAACAACGAGCTTTTTGACAGCCCTACCTACCGCCAATATAGATATTTAAGAAAAATAAAAATTAGTATCATTCATTAAATAATCTACAAGAACTCTAGTTAATTTAATTTCTCCAACAAGAAACAAGTACATAACACTCAATGATTTCAAAAGTATCAAGCACACTCAAGGTGAGTACTAGGCATAATTATATGTAATTGCCCGCAAGAAGTGAGGAGCTAAGAAATAGTTATATTGCCCGTTAACTTTTTAAATTAAGAGGAATGTTATATTAAAGTATATGAAATGGTGATCCTTACATAAAATTATGTTTGCTCAAACAGTGAAATTTCAAGTTCCGTCACATTTGAGTTAAAAAAATTAAGTAACTAAATTTAAATGAGTAGATACTTAGGTCTGTAGTTGCATACCCTAGTATAATTTAATCATCACAACTATCTATCCCATATTCATCATATCCATGATCTCTTCTCAATCCCTCTATTCACTGCTCTCAATCTCTTACTATGTTAGATTTGCTCATCATTAAAAATTACAATCCCACCGCTTGAGTTCTTGCACTTAAATTTGATAAACTTGTTTCCAACAGAGCAAATGTGTTTCTCAAACTCATAATGATATTTTCAAATCATCACATATCAAATTTCATCATCCAAAACTATGTTGAGCATTTAAAACATTAACACCAATATCTAAAATCAAGATGAAGCTCTTGCTACATTTTCGTACACATTAAAGCAAGGCTCTCTCCTAAGCATGCCTTAATAATAGCACTAGCCTATGAGGTGTGTAAGACGGTGTAGCCTCACATAGCTTGCCTTTAATACAACCAACCAAACACAGCTTGTCAAACAGTTAAACATCATAAAGAAACTACCGGAATGTTGCAAAAAATTTCCTATAATAGTATGCATTTAAAATGAGAGAAGTAAGAATTACCAGGGGAAGGAGCTGGTGGCTCAAACCAAGTAAAATTAAGAACTTTATAGCCTCCAATTACATCAGGATCAATAAACACTTCATGCAAAGCAAGTGAAGTATTCATTGCATGAACTTGAGCTGCAGAGAAACTTATCCCAGAATGTGGGGCTATGTCCATCGTGATATTTAGCCCTGACAAGCCAACGACGTAGAAGTTATCGATCTCAAATTGGGTGACTTGCAGATTAAGTTGAAAAGCTAGTTTTTCCAGAAATTCATTGCTCCAATTTGATCTCTGAGAAACATTCCAAAGGAACAGCTCCACTTTTACAGGATAAACACAATGACAATCTCTTGTACCCCGTCTCTGGACCATGTTCAGCCCACAGCATCCTGCCACAAAACATAAACTAAATAATTCTCAAGGTCAAATAAATAACCACAAAAACCTAAGTTCTATTGAAAAAAGTAGCCAAAAACACCAAAAATTATGCTGAAAGTTATCAGCACTATCATCAATCAATGACCAAGAAGAGGGTTAGTAGCATTCTGAAAGTCAGGTCAACTTATGAAAAATAAGATGATATATTGAATGTGAGTATATAAAACAAAGCAAAGACATTCACTAGCAAGGTTACCATAATTAGCAATGGAGCCATAATATTGGCATGTACCAGTACCAGCACAGCATGAAAAATTCACTTTGATTATAGTAGAATAAACCAATTTCATATTGCTATAAGTCAACAATCTCATGGTTTTCCAAGAAATTTAGCTCACCGGAATGATGAGAAATTGGAGGCTCTGCTAAACTAGGTGGAACTGAGCTGACATTCGTGTCTGAGCTAGATTTGTCCCCCACGGGAGAAGGTACACCCACAGATGTTGGAGAAAGTTCTTGGCTCCGTTGCATTACTCGTTTTGATAAGTGTGATGAACTTGAAGAAGTTTCATCGGTAGTTGTTGGTGAACCTAGATACATAGTGGCAGAGACCATATTGGGTGGAGGCGCAATTTTCAATGTCTTCAGTCCTCTACGAGCTAGATGAAGACCTGCAGCCGATGTAAATCTGGTGGATGGTATACTACTGAAGTACACAGCAGGTTTGCTACTAAGCGGAATACCAGATGAAGCTACAAAAACTGTTTCCAACTCTAGTCTGGGCAGCAAATCCTCAGTTGTTACTTGCACCAAAACCACTAGTGCCGTATAACTTAGCAGCAGCAATCTAAGCGGTAGTCTTGGCAACTCTGCAAGTGCAAAATTAAGCAAGCGAGATTTGAATCCAAAGTATTCACTAAATAATGGTTCTGAATAACATTCATCTTTGAACTATAACAGAGAAATAATCAAGAGACTTGGCCAGCCACTTCTATGAAAAATAAAAAAAACAACCCATTGACAGCCATAAAGAGACAGATCAAGGTGACAAACAAAATTTCTTCTCCGCATAAGAAAGCAATTTAAATCAACAACAACGCTACAAATCAGCATTCAGAATGTACACGATCAAAGAAAAGGGATATAATTATTCACCTTGATCTCCGTTTCAAACTAACATCTCGCCCAACTTCCAAGATACCCAAAGCTACTCCTGAAGGCTTTCCAGCACAAGGGCTCACTCATAGCACGATTCGCTAGCTCAAAGCAGTATTGAGAAAGAATTTATTTCTCCACAACATATAATAAAAAGTTTATAGAAAAAACAGTACTAACAGACGGTTATGGCACAACAATATTTCAATGGTGATTAAAAAAATATTCCATTTAATAGAATTAGAAAATATCTCGTTGTAAAAAGCACAGAGGAAAATAAAACGCATGAAGGCAACTCCAATCCATTAATTCGGTAGTTCACATCAAGAAGGAAGAAGACAATATCCATCCAAAGAGTTTAATCTCACAATAGTTCTCAATTAACAGATTCGCCTACAACCTTTCAAACGCATTTTTCTTTCTAAACTAATCAGAAGCAATGAAACCCAGAAAAATGAAATAAAAACACATCGCATGGTACTATAAGCTCGGGCAACTGTACCTCGTAGGTCGCGAATCTGAGGAGGCCTTCCCATTCCTCGCTTTGTCAGTTAATAAAACATTCAGATCTGAAGGGCAAGCAGTCGGCGGAGGCAGCATCAGTGCCGTCAATGGGTCCAATCTAGAAGCTGTAGCCACCAGCAGCGGCTTGTTGGGCAAAACTGAGCAGGGGCGAGATCAAGCGATCCGGAGCTTTATGCAGCCAACTTGGAGTCCTCTGATATCGGGATCTGGCATGGTTTGTTCGATTCCAGTCCATGGAAGCTAATTTCGGAAGTGGAAATAGCTAGGGTTTTGCGATTCGTTGCTTTTTCTCGCCCTTTTCAATTTTTCATGCTTTTTCCCTCCATCTATCTCTGCGTCCGGCAGCTCTCAAGCTTGCTTTTTTTTTTTTTTTTTTTTTTTTTTTTTCCTTCTTTTTCTATCTTTTTTTTTTTCTGTTGTTGGGAAGTCAGAGAACGAAAGCTGGCCGTGTGCCCCTAAAGAACCGTTGGTTATACTGCTAGCAACCGGTAAAGGCTAAAAGAGATGGTTGCTATTTATGATTTTATAAAATAAACATATTCATAGTAATTAGTTGGTTAATCATTTAATTTAATAAAAAAAATTAATAATACTGATTCAAGCTATTAATTACATAAATGTGAATATTTTCCTAAATTGGTCACATCTCAGGCTACGCTGGCAAGGTAAGATGAGATGAAGGAATGTATAAACTTATTTTGTATTCTAAAAAATAAATTGCATACACATAAAAAGCATCATTAATATATGACTCAACCAACATTTTATTGTCCAATTTTAATTCAATTTATTTCTATATAAAGTCAATTTAATTAGACACTAAAATGGGAAGGTAAAAGCCAACCTAAGGAAACCTAAAATATTCTTGTAGAGTTCTTACTTTGTGGGTACAAGACTAGGGTAGTCAATATTTAAAAAGGTTCTACCTACCTACTTATCATTACACATAAGCATAAAATTATAAAATTTTCAACGTATATTATATAACCAATATAGCAAATAACCTAATTATTTCAAGCATTTTTATAAAGTGAGATAAGTCTGCTGCAATTAAGTTGAATAATGAATAAGAAAGGTAAACTCTATAATTACGAAAGTTATTAATCAAGACAGACAAATTCATATGATGAATAATAAAAGAATCATATAATAATTGTTTAAAGCATAATAAAGAACAAAAAGATAGAGCTAATAATCTTTCAAAATAATTATAAATCTAATACAAACAACAAGGATTTTGCCCATAAAAATGAAAAATATATTTGCCTCTAATAAATAGCAGCTACTTACCTTGTTATGTGCAATAGAAGACAGCTCAATTTACTGGAAGTTCAATCCACAACATAGAAATGAAATTTGCGTGAAGGCTCTACAATCAATTGTTCCAATTCTAATTAAAATTAAAGTAGATATGTGACACTAGATAACATATAATCCAACCTACTCAAACCTGATTATGTTAATGTGGCGAGAGTATAAGTTACTCCAAACTTAGCTTAGTCCAAGAATTAAATTGCAAACTTCTTTAAATTATTAATCAAAAAACAAAAAGAAATCATTTATGTCTAGATGCACCATAAATTAATCTAATATTAATTTAGTAATTATTTATATAAAAATGATGATTTCTTATATTGAAATAAGGTTTAATAAAGAAATACTTTATCATATGTGAATAAGAAAAACATTCCATAATGGATAAGGACAAGAAGACAAACGATGTAAAAGAGAAGAGAAAGAAGGGAGCTCACAATCATATTTTTTTAAAGCTCAGTGACTGTTATTGAATGAGGAAGGAGTCAAAGGTCTTTGAAGGAGAAGATGTAAAGGCCATAAGTCGTCAACTAGAAAGGATGAAAGGGATGAGAGACGAAAGCAACACAACAAAAAGGTTTGATATAGCTAATGGTTGAACAATGAAGCAAAGAATTTGGCAGCTATAGAAGGAGGGCAGTCACTACAAAGTCGTATTGCACGCTATTTTCCTTAAATAGAGAATGAAGGTAGTGTGAGAAAGTGGTGCCTAGTACGGGAAAGGAAATCACAACATTTGCTCAATATGGAATGTGATGGAGGGAAGTAGACGTAGTCATGAAATTGATAAGAATATGGTGGGGGGTGG